CACCGCGTTGACACATCAATTTGCGGTTTTGGCAACTCTCTGAGTTGAATCAAGTTTTCGATATTTCCCGTTCGCAATTTTTTGATTAAGTCACGACCAAATTCAATGGCACTTTCATCACTTGGAGATGCCTTCAGTGCAGTATCAAATACCAGATTCAGTGTATGAGCCGCACAACGAACTCCAAGGCAATATTTTTCAGATTCATCATTTTTGATCGTGTTTGAATGCTTTTTCAGCTCTTTGTCGATGAATAAATCGTAGGCTTCTTGTTGTGCAGTGAATGGCAAGTCAATATCCAGAAAGTCATCTAACAAGTGTGACTGAAAAAGTTGCCAAATTTTGATAGCCCGTAACAGGTTCGCTCCGTTGTCGGTAGTGATTGAAATTATATCATCCATCGAGATGTGAAGCTTATCAAGAGCCTCCTTCAACAGTTTTGCAGCCAAAGAGCCGGTGTGATTTGCCAATAATCGCTTTACAGCGATGAATCGGGTAACTGGTTTGCCACAATATTCATATCGAATACTTATGCCGAGATACGATCTGAAATCCGCACAAGAAATTATTAGGAATGAGCCAAATTTAGGAAATGTTTGGTCATTTTTCATATTACAAAAAAAGTGGGATTTACCTATTTTGAATATCCACAATGTCCATTATCACCGAAATGAATTTGTCCCGGGTCTGTTCAATGATCTCGTGTTCGATTCGTTGTTGATATTCCATACATAAATCCTTCACATTTTGATTATTGACACGTAAATTGAGTCCCGCTTTATCACAAGCATCGAAAATTGGATCTAATACGCTCTTTGCTCCAACATCACTGAACAAACTGTACGGACGAGCATCGACTGTCACCCAAGCTACAAAAGCCTTCCTTAAATCCTCGACATTAAATGTTACGTTTATTGTTGCCTTTTTTACTTCTTTGGGTTTTGTATATTTAATGCATTTTGGTAAAATCACAGAATACAAAACATGATGTTTCCTTTTCAAATGATTCAATAGATTTCCTGAATGCCGATTTTTGTACGATTTCTTACACACTTTGCAAATGCTTGTTTTCGAATCCGCATAATATTCAAAATAGGCTTGAACGGGATGATTGATCACGTCACTTTCCGACATTTCTTTGAAGAAATAAATATATTCTTCGTTGGAAAAAAATAAATAATATTTTAGTTTAGTTCAGTTTAGTTGTAAACAGCTGAAACGTTCTACATGAAATGTCAAACAGAAGAGAGTGAGGTTCTGTTTACGTACCGCACAAAAATAACGCAACGCAACGTTTAAAAACCGGTTTTTTTCTCTCCGTTTTTTTTGTGCGGCACTTCGTAAGCGTTTTCTATGCACAAACGTTAATTTGCAACACACTGAAAAATAACGCGTTTGTAAACCCTAGTACCAACCACACAGTAGAATTGTGAAAGTACTTCCATTGCGTAATGTGCGCCCGCATTGTGAATTAATAAGGATGTGGAACTGGAGCTGTACGACGACGGCGACCATCCATTTCTTGACGCTTTCGAGCGTAAATAAAAATGTTTACTGAATGGTAATTGCACGTTAGTGCCTTGACGATGCGGAAATTGTCGACATGCTGCTTGGGAAAAGTGTGTGCTGTATGCTTGTATTCATCGCAATCATTTTTGAGTTTCGTATAATTTTTCGCACCTTTTAAGTCTTTTGTATGCGCCGTTTTTCACACAATAGCATTTTCTATCGTTGCCGTTCTGGTCGGGATGCGTCTGAGATATTTTCAAATCGTTAATTTTCTCGTCGTTTAGTTCAGCGTTGGCATTCACATCAGCATCGTAGGCATAAGTACTAATGGTTCGGCTAATATTTTTCGTATGTGTATTTCATGAGTATGTGCACTTTGGGCTTTTGTATATAAGCACGAGTATCATTTGTTTGCTCCAGAAAATTCCTTTAACACTGAATTGGTCCTTCAATTGAAATTTGAATCTTTTAACACCTCATTCTTTTAACCTACCATATGAGAAAGTTATCGATTTAATCAAAAATTGTCTACAAAATTAACAAGGTTTGGAATTCGGGAAAATTTCCGTGTGAAATGAGAGAACTATATTCATAGCGAATGTGTCAAGGCCGCACAACGAGATCTTCAGTGGACACCCACGTCAAATTATATAGGGGAAGGTGGGGCAAATCGCCGCGTGGGGTAAACCGCCGCACCGGCCTTTTCTCGAAAACGGCAATACATGTACAAAAAGTTCTAGTGTCATTTTGAAGAGCAAATAATTCCCGATATTTGGATATATAATTCGATATTTTTCATTTGAGTACAGGCTCTGTACAGGCACAAACATGTTTTGCACTAGTGCTGAGTTCATTTTTCGGGTCCACAGAATTTCAGCTTTGACCATTAAAATTTAATATTTTTTTAAAACGGGTTGATGTATTTTGTAGCTTATCACCAGCTCTTTCTTATGGATATAAATTTGTTTTGGAATTTTGCTTAATGTGAAACGTAGTGAAAATACATTAAGCTATTCGATCGTGTTTTGTCTGTCTGTCTGTTTGTTTATTTGTGCACCACTTTTAACGAAAACGGCTGGACCAATCTGGGTTCTGATTTCGGCTGTAGATTCGTGGCCTCCGTCCCTCGGGATGTATTTTTGATTACCCCCCTAGGTGGTTCCCCTGGATTTTTTTGACTACCCAATCGATTGTTCATAGTAAAAAAAAAGTGCATTCCACTCAAAAAGAGGGCTAAAACTAATAAACCAAGCCATAACTTATACAACAAAAAGATAGGTAATCGAAATACCTTTCCAACGGTATATGGGATGATGGGATAGTCCGCATTTCCCTTCAAGATTGACCCACACGGCAACTGAGTCATTTCGCGAAAAAGTGACTTGAAATTTCTGCCTAGCCCAATTGTGAGGAATCTAGGGGAGATATCCGGTGGGATCCAAACGGTTTTGGATAGCCCACCTCAAGACCTTTCAAACGGTATATATAAAGTGGGGTATAGTTGAGGTTCTAGGGTACCTTTAGTGTATCGATATAAAGCGGTGTTGAGGAAAGTGTATTTTCCGAGGCTTATTGCGGGGAAACTGGACGTCGGACCTTGATGAAACTTTGCCAGATGATGGACCTTGATATGCCCTATCCATTGATATATGGCTTATATGCCGGTCAACGCTGTGAATGGTACCTCTAGTGTATCGATTTGAAGTCGTAATGAAGAAAATTAGAGAAAAGTATTGGAAATTCAATTTTGAAGCCCTATTACGGGGAAACTGGGTGTTGGACCTTGATGAAACTTTGCCAGATGATGGACCTTGATATGCCCTATCCATTGATATATGGCTTATATGCCGGTCAACGCTGTGAAGGGTACCTCTAGTGTATCGATTTGAAATCAAATTGATATAAGTTGAATTACAGACATGTATCTGGGGTTTCTAGGTATGGAAACCACAAACACTCCAAACGGTTTTGGATAGCTTTTGAAAAGGCCTTTCAAACGGTATATATATGTTTGGGTTTGATGTTGATTCTGGAGTACCTCTAGTGTATCGATATGAAGCTCTATTACCAAAAAACGTTGAAAATTCAACTTTTAACCCTCTTTATGGGGAAACTAGGTGTTGGACCTTGATGAAACTTTGCCAGATGATGGACCTTGATATGCCCTATCCATTGATATATGGCTTATATGCCGGTCAACACTGTGAATGGTACCTCTAGTGTATTGATTTGAAGTCGTAATGGAGAAAATTAGAGAAAAGTATTGGAAATTCAATTTTGAAGCCCTATTACGGGGAAACTGGGTGTTGGACCTTGATGAAACTTTGCCAGATGATGTACCTTGATATGCCCTATCCATTGATATATGGCTTATATGCCGGTCAACGCTGTGAAGGGTACCTCTAGTGTATCGATTTGTAATCAAAGTGATATAAGTTGAATTACAGACATATATCTGGGGTGTCTAGGTATAGAAACCACAAGTTTCCCAAACGGTTTTGGATAGCTTTTGAAAAGACCTTTCAAACGGTATATATATGTTGGGGATTCATGATGATTTTGGGGTAGCTCTAGTGTATCGATATGAAGCTCTATTACCAAAAAACGTTGAAAATTCAACTTTTAACCCTCTTTATGGGGAAACTGGGTGTTGGACCTTGATGAAAATGTGCCAGAATATGGGCCT